CGGACAGCTTCTCCACGCTTTCCTGATGGCTCACCTGGGCCTGGCCCAGGGCCTGATAAATGTATTTGGGGGGATGTGGGTGAGTACAGGAGCAAATGAGGGAATGGATGGAGGCAGGAGAGAGGGAATGAAGTGCCCGGTAGCTGTTAGGCCGTGCTCTCTTGTGCGTGGAGGAGAGAAGATGTGTCTCCTTTACTTCTCCCAAAAGGACCACTTCAGTCCCTGGGACGAGAGGAGACGCAGGCCTCGGGGGAGGTGGCAAAGGTGTTCGCCAGCTGAGGACTCTGCCTGCCTTGGGAGAGAACATCCGCCCGGACAATGGCTGGCTCCCCGCCCTTGGCCACACCCCTGCACCAGATGGCATTAGCTCTGGGCAAGGTTTCTTCCTCTCCAGTTGTGGGCCTCCCACCCCCAACTCCTTCCTTCCTTTTGGCAGCATGGAGCGGCACGTACAATTTATCAATTATTAGCATACACGATATTTGTTTCCCAGAGGCTGCATGGATGTATGTAGCTGATTTCTTCTGGCCCCTCCCAAAAAAACACAGGAAAAGCAAAGGCATTTTTGTTTTTTTTTCAAACCAACATGAACGTGGCCATCACCTTAGCCTATCCCATTATGCTTCCAAAGTTGGTCTGTAGGTAACACCAAAGAGTGCCTGCATGCAGACAATGAAACACCAGCTGGTGGGTTCAGGCGAGGAAGGCGTGCCCCCGGAGGGCTCCAGCTTGCTCCTCAGATGGATGCCCATCTTATCCCATCCTCCTAGGCCACAGGCTGGTTTGTGCGTTCACCACATCTGGCCTTTATTTGAAACTCCACCTCAAAGTATTTCATAGCACGGAATATCTTTCCTTATTAAATTCTCCCCCACATATTTTTTTCATAAAGCAGGCACCAAAAACTACAAACCTACCCGTGGCTCTCAAAGTATCTGTTTATAAACCTTTGGAAACCGTTCGCAATTCGTTAATCACGTTTTCAAAGGAAGTTACAGTTTATAGATATACTAACAAATGCCGTATCCGATGCCTCAGCCCCAGTAACGAGAGCCTCACGCAGGGAAAGAGGGAGTGGGGCTGGTGGATCCAGGATGTGTCAGAGGCTGAATCCGGAGGGACAGGGGACAGCTGGCCTGGGAGTCAGAGATTTGCTTCTGTTTCTGTCACTCTTACACTGTGGCCTCACATCTGTCCTCTCGGGTGGAAAGTAAGGATAGGGGATCAGCCGCACTCACACACAGTAGTCTATCTTGAGTAACAGTGAGATATTTTGTAGGTCACATGCTCCTAAATAACTGTTAGGAACACTTCACTTAAAATGTACTTTAAAAGTGGTTCATTTACAAGGAGAAATAATAAAGGCGTTAAATATATACAAGTCAGAACTCCGATGACTACTTATGCTTGAAACCCAAGCCAGCTTAAAAAAAAAAAAAAATCTTTAAGAAGGGAAAGGGGTGATGTGGAGAGAATGTAGTTGGTACCTGAAACATCCAAGGGCATAAAGATTTTAGTCACAGCTTGATCCAGGCACACACACTGTGTTTTCAGGACTCTCTCCTGCCCTTTCTCTGCTTTCTCTGCATTGGCTTCATTCTCAGGAAGGCTCTCTCTAAGCAGAAGCAGAGATAGTTATGAGGAGCTCATGTTCACATCCTACCACCTTAATGGTGCTAGCAGATGCGCAGCTCCTTTATCTGGATAAACCCAGGAAAGCATGCCAGGCGGAAGCTCATTTGGGTTGGCGTGGGTTACACATCCCCAGCTCTGAACCAGTCTCTGCGTCCTGGAGAGATGTGGGTCTCCTCGAATGCTCAGGTCACTTGCCTATCTCTGACCCAGGGTGGTCTTGCTTTCACGAGAACTATATTTACTGAGAAGGGGGACCAAGGGCTTCCCTGCAGGAAAGCAAGGCGATTGCCCTGGAAAATGTGGGGGATGAGTGGGGGCACTGCATGGCACAAGCGTCTTCCTCGTGGAAGTCTACTCTCTAGCCTTCCCATATGCTCTCTTCACTGGAGAAAAGATAAAGGTGGATCTAGGGTCATTATGCTGGAGTTCACTCCTCACCCTCAGTCTGTTCTATTTTATGCAACAGCCACTGACTTTTCCTTCCCTCATTCAAAATAATCACTCTGCTATGTTACTACTTGCACTCTAAAGGAGCTCACCCATTAATAAAAACCCAAATGTCAAGTGTTTTAGACCAGTTTCACATACTTGGTTAAGCAGACGTTGTGGAGGGGCATTCCTACAATAGAGTTCCGGAGCAGGTATCCCCAGCCCTGCCTGTTTCCTCCAATGAAATGAAATTATTTAGACTCCCTGGTTTGTGGACCAGCCCACTGTGAATGCTTCTTCATACTCTAAACCCTCCAGGTTTCCTGACTATCAAAAGCGCAATGTATTGAATTTCTTGAGTGGTTATAAGAAAAAAAAAAATGAAGACAGACATCTGGGAATGGTCAGAAGTCAAGGGTTCTCTGTGGATTACAGAATTGCCAAGTACCATCTAAAAGCACTTGGGTCCTTTAGCACAGGTATGAATTTTTCTGCTGGGACAGTCTTGAGTCCCAGCTGAGCTATAGTCCCCGTCTTGGTGCATAAGATATATACACCAGGAGGAGGTATATGAATGTGACTGTCTGACACAGACATCTTCAACAAACATCTCCTATGGTTTACAGAACAGTGACCTGCTGAATCACCGAATGGGTCTCCTTCATTTCGAGGAAATGACATATTAGCCAACTGTATACAATGAGCCTGTGTCTTGGCTAGCAAGGTCATGGCTCTCAGGAATCATGATAGCTATATATTAAGGCTTTATTCTGTGCCAGGATTGTGTTTGTCCGTTTACATACAGTATCTAGTTAATTATCTCAACCTACCATTGCCAGGGAGGTACTATTGTTTTTCCTATTTTACAACTGAGAAAAGGGGAGCATGGAGCAACTGGGCCCCCTGCTCAGGATCACAGGCCCAGTAAGTGGCAGAACCACTCTCACAAAGACAAATGGACATTTTCTGAGAATAAGGGAACATTTGGTGCTCGGGACCTCGGGGGTGTTTTTGAATTTCTTTAGGAGTGTTTGAAATAACATGAGTCTCAGCCATGAAAATCTGGTCAGGGGCTGGTGGTGGGTGGGGATGTCCTGCCCCACACTGGCTATGTGATCTTATCTAAAGTGTCCTTTTACCCATTATTTAACTTGTGACAGCCTCTTTTCCTATATGTATGGTGGGCAATGAACTGACCTTCGAAAGGCAAAATTAAGGGTGATAAGCTGCAAGCAAGTCCTTGGAAAAGAAAGAAAGACTGCTTACTTGGCTTTATTGATATCCTTAGTACCTGGTCCTTACGAGGCGTCTGATAAATGTATTTGAATAAATAAATAAAGGAGCATTTTGAAATGACCAAAGGAAGTACTTCTCACAAACAAACCGTTTAGAACTAGCATTATGCCGCCCAAAATATTGAGAAAGCTCTGCCTTTTGCTCAGAAGCTGGGCTGTGTGAGCTTTTGGGGCACCTAGTGGCTCTCGGGGATGGTTCTTACCAAAATGGAACTTGGGGGCCGTTAGACAGTTAACAGAGGTCCAAGAGTGGCTGACTGTACGTCCTCAAAGGGACATGTCGAGTCTTGTTAGCATCATGCGCCCCCTTCCCCACCACACCTCCTCACTGTGAGACATGGGTGACAACCCCACCCACCCCGTTCCTGTTCCTCCCACTCAGCTCCCACCTGGATCTCGCAAGGGCCTGATCTTCCATGAACACACAAAGTTTCCATAACGGGACCCAACTGCAAATCTGCTGTTGTAAAAAGCAGCCTCTCAGGGAGCCGCTTCCCCTCCTCTTCGTCTACAGTGGATCCGATGTCCTAAAACTGACCTTGAACATCTGTGAATTGCCTTCAGCACCTGTCTCCAGGAACCAAGCAGTGTCCACAATGGTTACCTGTTGTTTGGGGGCGGGGGGGGTCTGAAAACACAGTGATGCTGCATCCCATTTCGAATCTTACCAATTCCATCCAAAGATGACCAACTTAGGGACAAAAAAGAAAAAAACAAACAAAACTATACATACATAGGTATTTTTTCCAAAATGCCATTGGCCATATCTTATGAACCAGTAAAGGGGTTGCTTATCTTTAGCCCGCAGTAGAGGGCAGACTTTCCTACATTATAAACATCCCGACCACCATCATCAAAGGCCCTGAGACACAGGAACATCCAGACACACGACCGGCCAGCAGATAAAATGGTAGGGTTGCAGGGTGACTAACACCAGTGATTTAGGGAGGAAAAAACGAAAACCACTCCCCCTGTTCTTAAGACACTCGTGAGGTTTTCCAGAGAAATGCCCTCATGGCCATTAAATCTGGTGGTGACTCCCAATACCCACATCCACCCCGGGTAGAGAGGCCGCACTTAGCTCAGTCCTGCTACAGCCTGTGTGAGAGCAAGTCCACACGATGTTACCAGGATGTCGAGTGCTACTGTGGAGACAAGTGCTTTTGCTTCCTCACCAAGGAGCACGGGGCCGGTTTGAGACCGGAGGTCGGGGTGGGAGAACTGTAAGACAAAGGGGTAGGACTAGATTTTTGGGAGACCGTAAAAAGCCCTTTCCTGTGTCACGAAGTGATGGCTTTTTAAAACTTTGGAGTAGAGAAGGATCTCCCCTATTCCACATGGGTGCCATCTGGGCAGGGGGAAATCTTTGCTTTGCTTCTGGTGGATTTGGAGGCAACGAGTCCAGTAGGTAAATTCATTTCAAGGAGCGTCGGCTTGTTATTTCCCCAGCTCAGAGCACCTGGCCTGAGCTTTCCTGCCATTACAGTCCCTCAGACTGTGCCCTACTGGGCTTCTCTCCAGTGTCCCTCCACTCAGTCCCCATCCGAGAAACAGGGCTTGGGAAGATAAACGCTGCCCTGGCTGATGATCTCATGGAAATTTTTTTTTTTCCCTCTTTCTTTATCTCCCTCTCGCTACCAGTACGAAGAAGGAAAGAAGCGAAGGAAACCTAACTACAGTAGCGTTGACCTCTCTGAGGTGGAGTGGGAAGACCGGGATGATGTGGTAAGTGACTGGTTTTCAAGCCCGGTGAGGAGGGAGCTCCACAGTACCCACTTCTGTACCTGGAGGCCACCCGGGGAGCTGGCCGAGAGGCCCCCCCAGAGGACACCTGGCCACCAGAGGGACATGAAGACAATGGGCTCTTTTTAGGGCACTGGAATTTTATAAGTCTCCTGCTGGCTGGAACGGTTGCAGCTAGGCCAGCCGCCTGCCTGCTTGGCGCAGTCGGCTGAAACCATCCCCTGACAGGCTCTGGTCCCTTCTGCTGTGGATTCATCCAGACTCTTGCTCGGTGCAGTTTATGGGACCTGCCACCCTCAGGGGAGCCTGGACTGAGCCTGGCTGGGCAGCAGAAGGCTCTGCCCTCTGTCAAGTCAGGATGCCCTGGGCACAGCCCTTGCTTTCGGGGAGCCACCCAGGACTGAGCAGCCCTGCCTCCCTTCTGCATGGTGGGCAGTCCATTTCCTGGGCCGTCCCAGCCGTCCCCCTTGCGGCCACACCACAAGAGCTCACACGTTTATTTCCCACACCAACTCAGCCTTCGGCACTGTATCAAAAGCCTTCCTTATGGCCATGACTTAACCCCGTCCGTCTCCTTGTTATTTCCTCAATAAATAGATTTGTTCAACATGGCTGCCTTTGTGTGAATGTAGGCAGACTGTCCTTAATTAAATTGTCACTTCCTGTGAGTTCCTGCCTGGATCCTTGCTCTTGACTTTCTCTGTGGGGCGTCCGAGCCACATCCACGGCTCTCTGCCCACACCCTCCCTGACGTGTCCAGGGGCCTGTCTTCAGTTTCACCATGGAGATAGCCATGTTTCCATCCCTCAGTCTGTCCTGCTTTCCAAAGAGTTGTTGAGGGGAACCATTTGGACTCCCCAGCTGGGTTCTCTTGCTGTCATTATCTTCTCTCCGTGCCCTCTGCTCCCTGGACGTCTCAGCTAGCGTAAATCTCGGATTTTCTTCCTGGCCTATAAAATGCAAGAGGCATATCTTAGAAGTGTAGCTGATTTCCTTCATCTGTATTAGGACTCTTGAAACTCAAGTTCAGACAAAATACCTACTGTTTGATAAAAAACAACTTCCTCACCTGTCCTCTTTTCCCCACCTGCTGGTGGCCTGATACTGGGTCAGCTCAATGACCTCGTAGGGTTTTACATGTTGTTCTTTAAACATGGTCATCAGGGTCTTTAGGTTGTACTGCGCCCAATGTCCACGCTCTCCCCTTTCCTCCTGCTTTTACCAAGAAGCAGGCTAGCGCAGTCATGAGGGGCACGGCCCGGGCATTAGCCCGCCTGGGTTCGAATCCCACTGTGGCAATCTGCTGGCTGTTGGTCTCAAGCACACAATTATCCTTTCTGTGCCTCGATTTTGGTTTTTGTCCTTTTTTTTTTTTCCAGTAAAATGAGTATGATGATAAGAGTACCTACATCAGAGAGCTGTTGTGAATCTTAAATGTGTTAATATGCTGAAAGATGAAAACGTATGTACGCCATTGTGTGGACATGGGGAGTGTCTGTGAGCGGTGGCTATTCTTTCTACTATTCTCATCAGCATTAATCCTCAGGTAACCTGCTCATGAATGAATGTCCCATGGACTTGCAGCTGCTAAATTGTCTCATGAGTGTTTGAAGGGCGCGTTCCACTGTTTTCCTTTTTCTTCCATCTTCACTTTATCAGTTGCTTTATTTTGACTTCACTGGACCTTTTTGTTTCCTTTCCCAGAAGGCTGGAACCTTGTCGTCAACATGCCTCCCCCCCCTTCGTCCCATCCATATGGATCAACATGGGAAGCAAACTGCTTTATGCTCGTTCTCACTTCAGAGTCCTCACATCATGTTACTGGAAGAGATTTATTACTTGGCTCACTCTAGTCATCACCTGCACTCCAGTTAATTTTCAAGGAGCTGATATCTCCTTTTATTAATCGTGGCTTCCTTGCCCTATCTTCTTTTCTCATTGGAGCTGCAGAGCATCGGATTCCCAGCCTCTTACATGTTCTTCACCTTCATCCAACTCCCAGGGGTTTTTGGTGTCCACCTTCAAAGTTCCCACATCTCCTACAAGTTCAGTGCTCTTACTCTGCTCAAACTGGTCTCTCGTGGTCTCTCTGATTTGGGTCTCTTGTCTTACTTCCTTGAGGAACATGATACACTCAAAGCACATTTTGTGTACCCCACCAACACATTTGGGAAAACCCAGGTCACCATTTCTCTCCTACAGATTTGCACTCCATTGACTGGAGAATCCTGGAACCAATACAGAGAAGCTTTGTGACATTGACATGTGATCCTACATGCCCATATGTCCACCATTGGGGTTTGCCTGTAAGTGGCAGAGGGCAGGCTTTTGGTTAAGATCTGGGAAAGACCATGAAGTAGAGCCCACTAAGGAGGAAGCAGCTTGAGCCTGCCCAGCTGCAGAGAACTTCTTAGAAGGAGCATCCTACTTCTCTTGGCAACTCGGCTCTTGTTGAATATAATGACGGTATTTACAACATAGACCCTGTGTCCTTCCAAAAAAGATGTGAGGTCACATATACTATTAAAACATGTGCAAAATAGACTGGCTAAAATTAGAATCCTAAAAAGAGGAAGAAAAATTAGAAACCGTTTAGAGGTGGATGAGCAGGACGTCTGGCCCAGGCTCCAGGCAACTTAGGCATCACATCAAAATACAATGAGTAAGACAGATCTTTGGGACCCATAAGCCAGGAAGGGACCCTGAGACATCTATAGCCCTGCCTGAATTACCAGTGTTGGTCACCTCTGGGAAGGAAAAAAAATATATCTTTTAAAATGGAGTTTATCCTTTGGTTATAAATTCCCACAGATGGTTGAAAGACTTAAGGATGACATTTTTCTTACTCCTGTTACCTCTTAGTCTTTCCCAAGCTTTCCACAGTGAACATGATTATTTCAATGAAGAGAAAAAATGGATATAGATAATAATTATCTGACGTACTGAGCCCTTCCTATATGCCAGCACTGTTCCAAGTGCTATATGTGGATGAACATGTTGATTCTACACAACAGTTTTACAAAGTCAGTGTTATCGCCATCCTCATTTTGCAGTAAGGAAACTGACGCAGAGAACAGATTGGTCCACGGGCACACCGTGTGAATTCCAGCCCAGGCTGCCTGGCCCCAAAGCTCTTGGCCACTTTGTTATGCCTTAGAAAGAGCTCTTGAGTCCAAGAGTCCTTAAAGACTCTGTATCAGTGCCCTCACGGTGTTTCCATGGTGTCCTCCCTGAGGGGTGCCGCAGAGATGGGGAGTCCTTGCAGCCAGCTGCTAAACAAATGCTCGCCATGGGGTGGCGCTGTAGATGCCAGCCCATCAGATTCTGCCTCCGGGCCACCTGAAACCCCTTAGGTTGCAGTGTGAGCCTTTTCTACTGCTCTCCAGTCAACTCACAGTTCTCCTTACCCGCAATGGTTCTGTGGAAAATTTTCTTCGAGTCTTTTCTTTCTAAAGCCCCATATACCTCTTCTCCTGGGGTAAAGTTCTGAGAACTGTGCTCAATTAATTTGTTCTTCTTTACACCTACTCCTGTGTCTCTGCAGCTCGTGCTTGAGCCCTGGGTCGCCAAACCAAACACAGTCACCCCCCGGCCACTACCCGCCCCCTCCCCTCCCCGGACAGAGAGATTGAGAGGATTTTGATTTTGTCATACAGATACTCTGTGCCCGAGTCTGTTTTCATACTCTGGTTAAACGCTTGCTTGGGAATGACAGACCTGTTAATCTCCTGCTTCTCCCTTCCCCTTTAATCTCTTGGCTTGGCCCAGATGGCATGGCCTTGGGGGCCTGGAAGTGCATGCTGCCTGTGCACCAGGAAAGGTGAGGCTTATGTTCTGACGTGGAGAGCAAGCCACCATTAGCAGAACGAGCTGTCATTATATACTTACGCATAAAACCCAAGGCGATCAGTGAATCTCTGGGGGAGAGCTTCCTTAATGAGCTCTAACACAGGAGGAAGAGCTGTAGGCTCACGATGGAACCGGAAGCGTGACCACCAGCTTGTAATGTGGGTGCTTTGAAGGGTCAGGGAAGCTGTTGCAGCTCTGGGGTGCAGGCAAGAGAGACAGACTCACCAGGGGCTCTGGGGAAGCGCATCTGACCTGGATAACACAGGACCCAGGAGAAGGAGGGTGCTTCCCAGAGAGACCGGGGAGCTGATCACCATTCCCAGAAAACTATTTCCAGCTTGAAGAGGTTTGACCTTTATTTTTATCAACCCCACTGTGGTAAAAGCTGCTTTAACGTCCGCTGCATTATCACACTTGCATCCGATAGGGAGAAATAAAGACATTTCATTGAGGTTTTAATTTGCTCTCCCTTGACGCTGTTAATGAACATTGGCACATGTGATTTTTTTTACTGACTACATAATATGCTAACATATGGGCACACCCAAAGTTGTTTGGGAATATTCCTCGGCCAGGACATTTTCATTTCTCCAGATGCTCATTGTTATAATCCAGGTAGTGGCAAAATCGAGGGCTATTTGGCCAGCTCTGAGCAGCATTGTCGATCTTGCCCTTCCTGGTCTGGTGGGGACTGAGAGTTTCGTCACTCCCCCATCATTCTGGTCTCTGCTCTGGGTACCTCTGCCATCTTGTCTTGTAAGCTGGCCCCTGGGGCAGCGGTGCCACTGACTTACCATAGGGTTTGGGGCAAGTTGCTCCCCTTCTCAAACCCCCAATGGAAAAGTGACATTTCTAGACTGTTCTGGTCTCACGGTGCTGTATTCTAACCCCACAGTCTGTGAAAAGGCACAAAACCCCCTTTCCTCCTATGGCAACAAGGACAGAAACCACCTTCCTGTCAGCCCCAGTTCGCAGAACCTAGAGCCCGTAGGAGAGCCTACCGGAAAGTTAAAACCTAAGACTGTTGCATGGTCAAGTTTAAAACCTTTTCTTTCATTAAAAAAAAAAATCCAGAAATAACAATACATTATTTTTGTATTCATGCTATACAATTGTTATATTAATGCTTTAAGTTTGTCCAAGTGCTTTCTCTCCTGATTTGGGAAGCAAAACTAACAGCGTGGGCTTAAGGGACAGAGAAACCGTGTGACTATAGGCAGGTTTCTTAACTTTGTGCCTCAGTTTCTCCACTTGTAAAATAGGGTTAATAATGGTGCCTTATTTTGAGGGTTTTAAAACCTGTGTCTGGCACATCGTAAAAGCTCAATAGGTGGTATCTATCAGTATTATCTGGGCTTTATAAGACCGTTCAGCACAGTTACACAGCACCTGATGCGATCCCTGGGGTCTGGGAGTCCTCGATCAGAACACTTTTGATGGAATGAATGAAAAGGAGGAAACGGAGCCACAGAGAATTCACAGAACAGGGGTATGTGTCCCCGGTAAGACTTGAGTCTTGACACCCTGGGTTATTTCTCTTTACCGTGGGCTGCCTCTTTTTCAGTCTGTGCCCACCCACAGGGGAAAAGAACAGCAGTTTTAACACAGGAGTTGGGGGGAGGTCACAAAGTCCATGAATGGTCCATGAGCAGCCCTTACAAGCTATGAAATCTATTAAAATAGGAGACATCAGAGGGCATCACAGAGGAAGATGTATTTCTCATGTGGCTCACCGAGTTTGAAAAATGTTGGTTTAGAGCATGGGCATCTGTGTCAAGCAAACTCAAGCTTGAATCCTGATCCCTGAAGCTGTCGAAGGAGGGCTGGCATTGTAAGGGAGGAGGACAGTGGTGATGGTGATGGTGATGATGGTGGGGGACAGCTAACATTTACTGGATTCTTAGGGTGGATGAGGCACTCTTCTAAATATCAGCTCATCTACTTCTCCACAGCAACTCTGTGAGATGGATGCTGCCATTAGTTTCATTTTGCAGAGAGGGAAACTGAGGCATAGAGAGAGTAAGTGATTCTTTCATAAGCTCTGGCTGCAGAGTCCTTTACTACAGTGCCATCCTGCCCCACATGTGGGTGTTCAGTAGGTGTAATCCATTTTCATTAAAACTGAAGAAAAGAGCACAACTGGACTCGTCATCTGAGCATTTGCCGCCAGAAAGCCTCAGTGACCCTGGCCTTGGAGCCGCCCAGCCCCCCGATGCTGACTGTTCGGTGCTACTGGGAGTTGGGGGCGGGGTGGTACGGACTCACGGAGAAGCTTACCTAATCTCCGACTTGCCTGGGGAATGTGAGAGGGGAAGGTCCCAAATGGCTTTAGGCAGGCACCAGAAAGAGGAAAAATGAAAACCATGTTAAAGATAAATCGAGCCGTTCTTAAAAGTTAGAAAGTAGACTTAATTAGGACCAGCTCTCCCCATCCAAAACCACAAAAGTTAAAATGGGAAAATATTTCCAGAAATGCCCATTATGTGTTGTTAAAAAATATCTAGAGTAAAATATATGTTTTATTTTATACATGCCTCCAGCTAAAAATTATGCTTTTTACTCTCTCTCTATCACAGAAGATGGGAATGTGAACCCAAATCTAGACAGCCTCGAATCAAATTTAGGTTGCTTGCTAGCACTGCAGTTTTCTATCGGCCAGGTCTTCATCAAGCTCCTCAAAGGAGAGAAGAGGGGAGAGGATTAAAAAAAAAAAAAAAAAGCCATGGGGCCAGGAAAGAGCGGTTCCCGACAGGCTGTGGCATGTCAGAATTTGCTCCTCTCCCATTCAGTGGCATCCCCCTCGTCTCCCATTGCTGCCCACGATGGCACATCTCTCATCACTGCGTCTGCGGTCCTTCTCTGAACCCACAGAAGGGCCGCACATAATTAGAAGAGGTCAGCCAGGGGCGGGGGGAGGGTGCGAGGCTCAGTGTCCCTAGATGGAACTTCTGAAACTCAGATACCGGGTCGCCCTGTTCACTGCCTGTCACTGTAAGCGAGACTATTAACTTGCTCAGGTTTCTCTGGGAGCATCTGAAGATGCTTCATGCTATAGAAAGTGAGTCCCTGTCTTCTAAGTGGTTGGTCTTAAAAAAAAAAAAAGAAAAGAAAAGAAAAACCTACTGTGTAGAAAAACAACTTTGACTTATGTTTTGAAAAATGGTTTCTTCATGACAAACTAATACCCTTTCTGAAAATGTAACTTGTCCCCAGAGACATTCTTGCTTCTTGAGTGTTTTCGCACTTGTTGGGGGCTCGCTTCTCAGACTCTCAGGCTTCATCCACATCATCGGGGCTGCCCGAGGGTCACATGAGCACCCCAAATGAATGTTGAAAGTCATTTATTGTCGTTAGCCTCTCTCCTCCGGTACGGCAGCAGCTGGATGTTTATTCTTCAGAAGCCCTGTTTCAGAGGGCTGAGTGTAGGATGCTGACTTAGCACCAGAGCGCCCACAATTTGGTGGGGACACAGCCCAGCCCTGTCATACCTCTGCTTTGCACAAACCACCATATGTGCTCCCAAGCTGAAGGATTCAAGATGTCCAGATGACATGCAACATGGGGAAGAGCTAATACCAAATTTTCTTTTATCATTTTAGTTAAGAAATGCCATGGTAAACAGGAAGACTGGGAAGTTCTCCATGGAGGTGAAGAAGACAGTGGACAAAGGGGTACATTTTTTCTCAAACATTCTTGCCGCTTAATTTAAAACAAACCACTGTGAAAAATTAGCTTTGAAAGCTCTATCTGGAATAAATATCTTTCGCTGAGATCATTTTTCTCTTGTCTTTACTTATCTCAAACAAGATTCATGTAGTACTGTTAACCTGATCATAGTGTGTCCATTTATTTTTATTTATTTCTGAAAGCTTCACCTAGCAGACTAACCATGTTTTCTTCTCTCTACGACTTTTTTTTTTCAATCTAGAAACGGGTTTTGGTGATGACAAATGACTACTATTATACAGACATCAAGGGTACTCCTTTCAGGTAGAGCTGACCATAATACATGGACATTCCATCAGATCCATCAGTTGTGTTTGTACAAAACCTGCTGACGCTCTCAGAGCTCATCATCTGAAGATAACCAAACACCCTGCCAAAAGGCTGGAAAGAGTGAGGAAGGGGCTTTTCCCAGGCTGCTTTTTTTCTGTTTTCCAGAAGGGGGAAGATGGTTCAGGCTCACCTAGGAGAATTCACTCGATTTGTCATGGCTTTGCATCTCATTATCAAGCAAATCAGCTTTGGGGGTTCCAGCTAAGGGTGGAGAGACGAGTTCAGAGGGTTGCCAGGTCCTTAAACCATCTAGCTAACTTGCTGCCCAGTGAGCTCCATTTCACCTTTTATTTCCATGATCAAAAAACGAGCCTTCGCACGAGGAGGTAGCATATCCATCCCTCCATGTTGTGCTTCCGTTTTAATTTCTCTGAACTGTACTTCTGTGCTTGTCTACCTTGAATCCTGTTATTTCTCTGTAACCGTCCTGAAAAATGGCTTGACCCCATTGCCTGCTTTCAGACGCTCATGTGGCATTCTAGAGTCTCCTGCTACGATGACCTTAACTTCTGTAAGAAGTCATTCCCGTGGGGCTGCTTCACGTTCCTGAACCGGGGCCTCGCAGAGCTAAGGAGAGAAAGAATTTACTGACTCTAGATGAATCTGAAAAATAAATTATGGCATTGTGCTATCATAGACCGCCAGGGATCATGAGTTTGATGCCATTTGGAAGCAGAGCAATTGAGGGGACACATGACCGCTAAGCGGGTTTGCCAAATGAAGAGACTGTGTTTTCAAAATATATTCTATTCCTTTAGAAAGGAGTTTAAATCAAGCCTGGGAGAGGGGGGAGCATCTATTAGACTAGGGAGAGGGTCGGGCCCAGAAGCCCACAACATAATAATGTGGCTCCACACTGGTGTAGTGGACGTTTTCATTTTCGTCCTTGAGAGGGGGGTCATTTTCCCTAGTTGTAAACTCTAGGGTCTGGAAAGACCCATGTGTGGCTGAATGGAGGGCAGGAGTGTGTCAGGTAGTGGTGAAGAGCAGGGCGCAGGGCTCTCGGGAGGGCCTCCGAGAGTAGGGTGAGCAGTTTGCCACGCCTCTGAAAATGCTCACGAGCAGCCCATGGCTGCCATCCTTCCGGTCAGAAATTGCTTTGAAGCAGCTGATTGAGCCTAAGGAAAACCAACACCAACGATAACCAGTGGGGTTTTGAAAGTAAACTGTTGGAAAAATTGTCTACAGAACATGAAATGGAAATGTGAACATGGAAAATAAAAAGTGAACCCACAAGTCTATTCCAGTCGATGCCATGGGTTTCAAGATCTGCTTTGTTTCTCTGCACAGCTTAGGTGTGGCGCTCTCCAGAGGTCACGGGAAATACTTCTTCCGAGGGAATGTAACCATTGAAGAAGGTAAGATGCTCTCTTGACCTGTCTTATCCTTCAGTCTTGGGCATTTCACTCAATTAATTGTCCACTTGGCGTGAGCTTGCCTTCCAAATGGTGGGACCCCCAACTCGTGGTGGCCTTTCTTATGATTTCATTTCTTTCTATTCTGCTTTAATCCACAAAACTGTTGAGCCAACTCAGAGGATCATCCACCAACTATATTCTCCCCGTACATAAAAATCACTACCGAGAAAAATACAAAGTAGTGTAAAAATTCAAGCCCAGGGGAAATACAATGAAAACAAAGGTATGCAAGCCAGTCTCCTACACAGTTGAGCCCACAAATCTTGTTTGTGCTTCAAGCAGTTCAAGTCCAAGGGGAAATATGACCATTTAGATGATATACATAGGTCAGAAGGAATAAGGAGCATTTTGAGATTCCCAAATCCTCTTGTCTTCATAAAGCTCAGGCACACTTAAACTCCCAGCAAATGGTAGCCATTGTTACAGCACTTTAAACTTTAAAACCACTGTCATATGTGCACTGACCGTCCTTTACCATGAGCCAGTAAGTCAGTACCTCAGAGAAGGAGCCTTCCCCAGTGTCACCGGCTCACAGGGAGGGGTGAAGCTGACCTCTGAAAGTCTCCACTCCGCAAGTGGCCCCAGGAAGTCACTCACCCAATCTGGATGTTAGATTTTGCATCTCCACCAAGAAGGAGCAGGACCAGACCAGTGCTCTTTCTGAGGGTCCCCAGAAAGTATGGCCAAGAGCTGGAAGGTCCGTTATGAGCCAGTTTTAATTAGTTAGAGCTGGTTACAAGTGCACGTGGTGAACTTCCAGAAGCTGGACCACCTAGGGGCTCACCCTGATGATGTAGTGGAGAACGAAGAGATTGGCTGTCCCTGAGATGCCAAATTCCACAGCCAGCTTCCTGGGGTACTGTGTGCATTGTTTTACAGGTGTTAGTATTTGTCTCCCGAATAATCGTAAGGTCTTAAGAACAAGGAAGGAGATTGAAAGGTTTCCTTGTGCCCACTAATCAGTCATGTGGTATCTCTTCCCAGAGACCAGAAAGAGGGAACAGGCAGCTTTGTGACTTGGGCAAGATACTCAACAAGATGTGTTCTCAGAAATCTTTTTTTTTTAACTTCTAGAATTTTCTGGATGAATGATCCATGTATTGCTCATATGAGCCATGTGTAGCTCTGTAAATATCACCATGAAGCCAGAAAATTCATGTCTGAGCTATTTGAGGTCAAGCTGAGGAAACAGCTCATGGTCAGAACAATAGAAAGATTATTAGTGGATTATTGGCCTCTCATGTTTCCATTCCCTTAGCCAATTCTCAATACATAGGCCTGCCTCTTTGTTTCTGTTTCTGTCTCTGTCTCTGTCTCTCTCTCTCTCTCTCACACACACACACACACACACACACAGAGTTGTTCTGCGTTGTCTTTTGGGTCATTTCTTCAGTCATGTCTTTTCCCTGTGTGTTCCGTAGCTGTTAGGCTGAGAGGTCACAGAGAGAATTTCAGAACTAACTGCAATCACCATGCTAGAAATTAGTTTGAATCCCAGCAAGGGGAAGAGTCTCTGGTTATCCATACAAATGAGGTCAGATCTTCCTCTCTCTGTTGGTCCTCTGTCAATAAGAGGGCTTACAATCCTGCCAACTTTGAAGAGCTGAGCCTGAGAAAGCTGCTTCCCCTTGGACTAACTAGTAGACGTTCCTGTCATCGTAAGGGCCATGGCACGATCACTGTTCTGCTCTGTTCTTGGAGAAGGTAGGCTTTCCTGGAGATGGCAACCATACTTCTGTAGGATCTTCTGTAAGGAATGCTGCCCCACAGAGTATGGGAATTTTCAACATGTTTTGCTGTTGTCATCTATTACAAAGATGGTCAACAGGTAGACATTGCTCACAATGTAAGGAGTTTCTACTAAGGCTGAAGGTATGGGCTACAGTTCTACTTGCTGAAATTGTTTCTCTTCTGAATCTCCTTGACATTTTGTATCATACATATATATGTCATATATATAGTGGTATATATATATATATGTGTGTGTGTGTGTGTGTGATGTGTATATATGTATATACCATTACATATATATAAATATATATACATATATGATTACATATATGTATATATATATATATATATATATATATAAAGAGAGAGAGAGAGAGGGCACAATAGTTGTTCAATAAATTGGAGCTTATGTCATTTTAGTCTGTGTTATCTGCATATATAGTCTGCATAGTAGATGTGGTTGTGTCAGGAGGACTAAAATCAGAGGTGAGCGACTTAGAGAACAATTCAATTTCCTCGGTGCCCTGGGAACTCAGAGAGGAAACGATCAGAAAGATCTCCCCTCTAGGAATTCATCTACAGGGCCTATGAAACAGAGCCAGAGAGGGCTTTGTGGATGAGAACAGACACTAGAGAAATTGATAGAGTTGACATAATTAACCCAATATTCCAGGAAGCTGAGACCCCACCTTAGGGTCTTTGCATTGATTATTCCTTCTGCAGAGCACTCTCTCCCAGTTATCTACATGGCTCTGTCTCTCACCTCCTTCAGGTCTTTGCTTAAAAGTCATTTTCTCAGTGAAGCCTTCCCTGACTATACTACTTAAAATTGAAACTCTTCCTCCTTTATTTCCCATCTCTGGCTTGGCTCTTTTCCTTCATAGCCCTCATCACTAACTGATATGCTATGTATTTTAATTTTATTTGTTTGTCTCTTCCCACCACTAGAAAACAAATACCATGAGGGCAGTGATTTTGTTTTGTTCACAGCTATATTATCAGGGCCTAGAATAGTATCCAGCACACAGTTGATGCCAGGAAGGAAGGAAGGAAGGAAGGGAGCAGGCAGGGAGAAAGGGAAGAAAGGATGGATGGAGGCATGCAGAGATGGCACCACAGATTATCCTAGGGACTCATCACTGTCCCACTTAACCCTCTCATGGATCCATGAGTTAGGCTCTATCATCCACATCTTCTGACTAATAGAATTTAAAGAGTTGAAATGACACCCCCAAAATCATTCTACCAGTGGGTGTTGGAGCCAGGAAATGACACTTGGGTCCCACATGACGATATTCTATCTAATATAGTCCCTACTTTCTATAAAATCAAGCAAGAGTGTGCGATATTAGGTCTAGTATTTTGCTATTTATTTTATGCATTTGTATTTGAGGAGGAAACTGGCATCCTGAGTGCAGTATAATACTATTGGCCGTTTGGGAAACTCTGACCCCTCAAATAGGCTATAAGCGTCATCTGAGTTCCTGAGGTCATCACTCAGAAGTGTGTGTCTGCTGATGAGCCTTCAAAGTGAGCTCACATGAAGATACAATGAAAAAGAGTGATTTCCCAGAGTTAGAGTGGTCTAGAGCATTCTGTTAAAAACTCCCCAGCTTCCTGCAAACCCCAGTTGTCCCAGCTACCTTTGTGGACTGATGGCTTGTTTTTACTTAGGATCCTGTAACAACTAGCAATGTTTGCTGGTCAAAACCAGTTGAGTATTGGCAATTTCATATCATTCAACCTATCTTTTTGCCCTCACAACCACCCAGCAGTTGGGACTATGATTATTCCTGTTTTGCACATGAAGAAACTGACATTTGGAAAAGCAAAGTAACCTGCTAACATCACACCCGAGTTAAGTGGCCCAGCCCAGCTCCCTGAACAAGCTGTGCGGGGCTCCAGCATCAGTGTTTCCACCATGATACTAAGTTCATCTCCAGGACTCACTGGTGCATTGTTTGTCTCCATGGAGTTCAGGCTTTCCTGGGATACTCAACCTGGGAAGCCACCAGTGGTGGCCGAGGGAGATGGAAGTGGGGAGAGGGTTCTGCATCATTTTCTTTGTTCCGAGTCCCCCCTTCAGAGGCAGATATCATTGGGGTTGATGCCTACCCTTCATCATTCAATGGCCCTGCCCTCAAACATTTGAAGCACATGAGAGGATGAGGGGTATCAGTGCCCCACGCAGGTGGTCCTTACTCATTAACCCCTTCTCCTTGACCTCTAGGCCTGCATGACTTAGAGCACCCTGATGTGTCCTTGGCAGATGAATGGTAAGAATTAAACCACCCTTCATCAGCATGGGTATCTGTTGCCCTCTTTGATTTCGAGTCCTCTGTACCCCCTTCCAACCTCTCCCAGTTCAAAGGCAAAGGAAGGCGATGCTACAAATCCTCACATGTTCTTGTTTTGGCCCCTGTCATGGTCTTAGGTCCTACTGCAACACTGACCTACACCCGGAACACCGTCATCTGTCTCAGCTAGAAGCTATTAAGCTCTACCTCAAAGGCAAAGAACCTCTGCTCCAATGTGAGTGGGCTTTCAACCTGTCCTGTCTGTGTATGCGGCTGTAGTTGGGGCGGGGATGGGGGAGACGCAAAACCACACTTCCCCTCAGCTTTCAGAGGAAGCTTTGCTTTCGGCAGAGGTGATCAGTCCCATCAGATCCAGCCAAATGTCTGCTTCCTGTAGGAACAGGAGGAAGAGTGTGGGCCACTGAAAGTCACGCAGAATCCCCAATCCCAGTCTAATCCTTCACATTGGACTTGTCTCCCTACTGGACCATTTAAGTCAAGCACCTGAGTAGCATGGAAATGTTATCTCTGGGCAGGGACTGTGAATATCTGCTCCCTTATTTTACAAATGAGAGACAAGGGCAGGAAATAGGACTTGTCTCATCTCAGGCCATACTCTAGGTCTGGTTCTCTCCGGAGTGGGATCATCACTGTGATGTGTTGCCTCATGTCGTATACATGCTATTGCCCGTCTTCCTACCACGGGCCCTTGAGGGAGCTCACTGGGTCAGGAATGGTTCGTGGCTGGTGCAGGGGGGGCAGGGAGAGAGCAATGGGCCTGATGCTGACCAAGCACATGAGCAGTCCCTGGACGGGCATATGAGTTCCAGTAGCTAGTCTGGCAGGGAGAGATTCACCACCAGTGAGCACAGCAGCTGCCCCTCCCCCAGCAGGTACCACTTACTCAGTGATGTGAACAAATCCTTTACATGTATTATTTCATAGAATTCCCACAGCGCCCTGTGAGAGGTATAAGGGGGTTCAGCTGGCTTCTCAACTCCATCTCCACAGAACGGATTGACTTTTTGGCACAGGGTCTAGTAGAGAAAAGATCAGACGGACACCACATAAGCCTTACTTTTCATTTCCTTTGACTGAATGGCATATTCAAATAACAAAGGTATAGAGATAATATAAAAAATTTACATTTACCATCCAGCTTTATCAGATCTTAATATTTTGCTATATTTCCTTCAAGTACTTTTTAAGGAATGAAACATTATCCATAATGTTGAAGCCCCTGAGTCCCCCCGTACAGTCCCATTTGCCTCCCAAAGAGAATCACTCCCACCTCGAATTGGTTCCTAACCTCCCATGGATCTATATTATTACTCTCCCTATATAGGTATCTGTAAACAGGATGTACCATTATTTTCATTATTTTGTATATTAACATTTATATATGGTATACTATATATATTATCTAGAGTACAATATATGTATTGCTCTACAACTTGTGTTTCATTCATTACATTTTGAGATTTATGTGTGTTGATCATTTACCTCTAATGCATTTATTTGAATTACTATACAGTATCCCACTACATAACTCTATCTCAGTGTATCCATTGTCTTTCTGATGATGAGTTGTTTTCAGTGTTTGCTTTTACAGCAAAGTGCCACTGCCTTGTGGGCCACCAGCCAAGGGGAGGAGGTGATAATTAGTTGGCCCCTCTGCAGAGCAATGGGAGGCCTCTGAGATGCCTCTGCTGGACTCATGATATCCCCCTGACTCCTTAGCATCTTCTCCAGAGTGCCAGCAAGAGTCCTTTTGGATAGGAACAGATTCCCTACTTTAAATTGGAAAAACAAAAACAAAAAACACAAAAACCAAAAACCTTTTATTTATTTATTTGGGGGAGAAAGAGAGTGAGCAAGAGAGAGAGAGCACAAGCTGGGGGGAGAGGGAGAGGGAGAAGCAGACTCCCTGTTAAGCAGGGAGCCCCACGCGGGACTCGATCCCAGGACCCTGGGATCATGACCTGAGTTGAAGGCAGATGCTCAACCGACTGGGCCACCCAGGCGCCCCAACAAAAACCCTCTAAATGGAAGGAATCACAAAATAGGAGTCCCAAGACTGTTTAGTTACTACATCCCTTCCTCTTATAAATGACGGGGAGCAAGGCCCTGAAAAATTACAGATTGTGATAGAGGACAGAAATGCGGGTGAACCGAGCAAATTTCTAAGACATGCTGGTCTGTGGCACCAACTGCTAGATGAGAAGAGAAAGCAGAAAACTGAAGAGGGACACACACAAGACTCTCCGTGTATAATCATCTCACTCGAACACTTTGGGGGCCCCCCTATTGCTGGCCTATCAGGTGTCAGAACTGTTCCATATTTTCAGCGGGTAGGAGGTAAATGCATAAAGTGCTACACCGTGGGAGAAAGTAGCCTGCAGTTACTATGGAGTGAGTGAGGCGAGCACCCCTTGTGCCCCCACTGGGACCCCAGCCACAGCCACCTTCTCAAGTCTGCCCCTCCCAATAGGTGATAAAGAATTGATACAAGAAGTCCTATTTGATGCCGTGGTGAGCGCTCCCATTGAAGCCTATTGGACCAGTCTCGCCCTCAACAAATCCGAGTAAGTGTTTGCACGTGTCCCCCTTTCATGGTCATTTCCCCACAAGCCGTCCAAAATATGGTTATGGTTTAAAGAACTAAACTGTTTTAGGAGCTTGGTGTTAAAGTGCTTTAATTTTCCCCAAAGCTCCAAACCACAAGAGCTCGAGCAGATTAGCGGCTCGGGCTTGGGTGGCAAGCTCCTGGGTTTGACATATAATTTGAGTTTTAGCGTTACATGAAATTTGGTGTGCTGAGGTGGGGGGCGCTTCCGAGGGAGGGGGAGGCAGAAGGAGCGCTTAGCTTCTTGCCCTGCCATGGCTCCCTCGGCTTCACAGTCTGGAGGGGACTTGGGATCTGGGCCAGGATGGGTTTTAAGTAGGACGGGGAAGGGAGAGCTCTGTTTCATGAGGGTGTCAGGATATAACCCTGTGGTTTTATTTCTGAAGCAGAGGATGCGGGGAGAGGGGGCTGGGAAATGGTCATTGTTGTCAAAGCTTTCAGCAGCTTGTTACTATTATTTTACTAACTTAAGTAGGTTATTAAAGATTAAAAATAGGAAGTGAAAACATTCCTTTCTCCTTATACCTTCACGTCATACATTATTTAGTTCTCTCTCCTTTTCTGTTCTTTATTAGCTCCATTCCTTCCTTCACCTTCCCTTTTGTATATTCTCTTCTATCCTATCATTCATTCTGTTCTCATTTTCATTCATTCATTCACTCATCAGATACTGATTGAGTGTCTGTTACGTGCTAGGCACTAGACTAGGTGTTGGTGAAACGGAGCTAACTCAATCAAACGTAGACCTTGCCATCATGGTATCTGTGGTGTGTAGTATGACAGATTATTAAGAATTGTGATAACTACTTTGAAAGAAGTGTAAGGACATGTAGAGTGTGACAAGGCCTAGAGTGGAGGTGGAAGACAGAAGGTTTTTCTGGGCAGAAACTAGTTCAAGTGTTAGGGAGCATTCTAAGGAAAATGGAACAACATGTGCAAAGGTCCTGAGGTACACAGTATTTGACACATTTGAGGCATTTAAAGAAGGCCAGCAGAACTGAAATATAGAAGGTAGACTAGAAGATGTTGGGAGATGAGGCTGTAGAGGGGCCAGATGGCTCAGGCCCTTGGGAGTCAGGTGAGGGACCCTGGATTCTATACTATGAGTGTTATAGAGTCATTGAACGATTTTAAGAAGGACATTTTAAGATTTTAAGAAGGATATGATCATATTTGCATTGTTAAACAATATCCCTCTACTGTGTGAAGAATAGAGTTTAATGGCGTAAGAATAATAATAAAGTCTCCTACAGCATTCCAAGGGATTTGCCACTTGGACCAAGGCAGTGGCACAGGGAGGAAAGATCTTCTTGTGGCATGCTGCAGAAGTGAGACCTCCCCCCGCCCACCCCAACCCTGGATTTGATGATGGGTCTGCTGAGTGAGGGGAGGAAGGCTGAGCTGTCAAGGATCATTTACAACACAAATACCTGTATAGAGAGTGGTGCCATTTCCTAGGACAGGAGACAATGAAGGAAGACCAGGTTTGGGATGTCCGGGCACGTCCAGAGTTCTCTTCTAGACATTTTAAGCTCAAGTCTCCCAAGTGGAGATGTAAGGTAGGCAGTTTAATCCAGGAGTCTGGAACCCCAAAGAGAGATTTACCATTCTCATTATACTTGGGGCTGTCCTTGGACTGCTTACATTCATGGTTCTTATTCCCTGGGAAGGTTGGGGAAGAGTCAAAACTCTGGTGGATGTGGAAATGTTTCTATTAAGCTCTCATGAACCTCAAAATCCTGTGCAAAGATTGCTGATTCACTCCTAACACATGCTGAAGATTTCCAAAATGGTAGCTTGCTTTGTAGTCCACATCTGTAACTGATTGGGCAGCCTGGCTTTCCAATTTGGGTAGGCTGCAAGCAGAAACAAATGCATAGTGCTGGTTTTTATTCACCCCTTAAATACTTAAAGGTAGTATTGGCCACTTTGACTACCATCGAAGATCAAGTAACCAAATTATCTTATATTGAAGATGACATGGATAGTGCTTCAAATCAAATTGCTACTAGCATTTAGGGAAGGGAAGCAAATTCAAGAAACAGTATTCTCTTCATACTTTTATTGTAGAATGAAATTATGTATTTGTGGAGAAAGACCATTTGCTTTTTTGTGAAGAGGTAGGCATTGTGAATATCCTGAACATGCCCAAACATACAAAATTTGCCTTGAAAGTTGAAGAAAATACCTGTAGTGAATTTTAAAATAAGTTTTCTTTGCTGAGGCCATTCTTAGGGGTCCTGTGCCTCGTATCCTGCAGGGCCATTTGAAGAAACCATTTTTTTACTCATCTCTTTGGGGATGGTGGTAAGAATAAGGCCTATGCTCTGGTAGAAGTTACAAGATGGTGACTTCAAATGGTGTAGAATTCAGGTCCTAGACATTTCTAGGTTGTAGGACCCTGCAGATTTGATTCAGTGGCTCAGTTGCTATTGTCCCTAATGACAGATTCCACTAATAAGAATGGATTTGTTAGGTCAATGCAAAAAGCTACCTCTAAGGATTTTCTTCCTCTCCTTAAAGTCATTCCCATTCCAGCCTACTGTCCTGAGTTTGCCCCCAGAACCCTGATATAAGCTGTGTTTATTTAGCATGGGGGTGCATTCTCTCATCGTGCTTTGGAGTTCTTGGAACTCAATGGAGTTCTTAGTTTTTCTTGCAAGAATTACCACAGAACTTTCCTAAGGGGTGAGTTTGCATTCTGTGCTTGGTGCCTGTGTGCATCTGTGTATGTGTGTGTGTTTCTATAATTTCTTTTAAAACTCCAGGTTTCAAAACTGCTATTTCATAAAACATTCTGTGAGTCTTCAAATGCAAAAGCCATTATCTGCTTACTGTCTGGAAGCATCCCCCTGTTGTCTGCTGCTGTGTTTCAGGAATTCTGACAAGGGCGTGGAGGTTGCCTTCCTTGGCACTCGTACTGGCCTCTCGAGGATCAACCTGTTTGTTGGGGCTGAGCAGCTCACCAATCAGTAAGTAGGAAGGCTCCTCTGCAGGGGCCCCGGGAGCCCCTGAAATGGGAAATTCAAAGGGCTGCTTGAGTTTCTTGATTCTACAACCGGTAGAAACAAAATTCAGGCCACCCCAGGCCGGCTGACATTGTTCCCCTCTGTTTTACCACGGGGGGCCCCAGCGTGTATGTTCACCTGCCTGTTGGCCTTTCCACAACCCTTTGTTCTTCATGCTCGCTGGCTTCTGTCCACCGTCCTGGAGTTCTCTCCCGGGCTGGTGAGTCATTGCAGAATCTGGCGATGGTGTGGCTGCGGGGGGAGCAGCCAGAGGAGGGCTCCTGACAAATGGCTTCAGGGCATCCAGCTGCTCTGCAGAGGAATTCCTGCCTGTCCAGGAATCAGTGTTTCAGGTCTGTTGTTTATTTGTTTGTGTATGCTTTCCTAAACCTCGGTGCCTCTGCGCTGAGCCTGAGGGCCTGCAGAGCCCCAAGCCCAGGAGCAGGCAGTCTGGTGGTACTTGGGTTGGACAACGTTTCCTTGTGCTTCCAAAGAGACCCAGATGCACAGTGGGCAGGGCGTCGCCGAGTCCAGTACCCAGATGCCCTTGAAACCACTGCTCAGCCTCTGTGTCTTCATCGAGCAACAGGGCAATAGGGTCTTACCGCTTCAAACTGGTGTTGGAGCAGAGCTGGAGGGAGCCTGGGAAGTCTTTTCTGACCCCATTAATGTTTCTCGGTTTGGGTTTTTTTTTTTTTTTTCCCTCTCAAGTAAGAGGCATTTTTAGGCCAGGGATAAATCTAGTCCGAGATTCAGAAAGCTTGCCAAGTATGTGTGGGAGGGTTCAGACATTACTGTAGGACCTCACACACCCTGACCTATAGATACTTGGGGGTGAATAACCAAGCCACAGGCTGGCCATCAATCTGAAAGGGGTTGGCCCCACGGAGACCCGAGAAGGAGATGCTCCTGTCCCAGCAAGCCCCATTCAGCAGTTCTCTTGCCTCTTAGCTGAGGCCCCGACTCCAACCATATGGTATTATAAAACCAAGTCTGGTAAATGGCATGTAAATAGATTTTTAGATGGTTTGTGACCTGGCTTTCAATTCCTACTCAAAGACTCTTTCTCAGCATCTCAGATTTGTCATTTAGGAAGTCGGCTACAGTTGTGACTTGATTTTTTCCAAGCCCTCTTTAGCCTTTTAGCTCAGCCCAAATATTTTTTCAGAGGGCAAGTTCCTAGAAAGACTAGAAGTGTCGAGATACACATCACCTTCTCCTTTTGGGACCTAGAGAGACAGAAGGAGACACAGAAACTGACTTTCTCATGCTCAAGAGAAAGGCTGTTGTTTATCTTGAGATTAAAACAGATAAACTCAGAAGAACAACCACCACAACAAAACAAACAGTGCACCTTGCTAGTGTGTCCTGTAGGTCACATTCAGGACTGCTGGGCAGAGCACCTGGCTCAGCCCACTGGTTTGCATCTGAGAAATGGCAGTGGTGATCTCCCTGCGTTCTTGTGAGGATCAAAAAAACTATGGATGTAAAACCACGTTGAGAAGCTAAAAATATCTGTAAGTACAGGTTAGCTCAGCTCCCTGTGACACTGCTGTGACCCAGAGTGAGTAGTCATTGGGTATCCGGATGGATGAGATAATTCTTCTGTCTTCAAGAAACTCATAACATTGATTCATATGGAGGTACCTTGTGGCATATTGTACCTCTATACATTCATATATATTCATATAGAGGCACATAGAATTGACTTCTCTCATCTTAGAGTCTTGTACCTGTCTACCCCTTCAAGCAAATGGCATTTTTTAAAGATCTATTTATTTATTTATTTGACAGAGAGAGAGTGCCAGCGTGGGGGAGGGGGAGAGAGGGGCACCGGGAGAGGGAGAGAGAGAATCTCAAGCAGACTCCCCCTGAGCGCAGAGCCCGACTAGGGACTCAATCTCACCACCCTGAGATCATGACCTGAGCCAAAGTCGAGAGTTGGACACTTAACCAACTGTGCCACCCAAATGGCAAATGACATTTGTTAAGACCCAACTATTCAGATATACTCTTAGCCAGGGCTAGAAAGCTTTTAGATTTTCTGTGTTTTCAAAGAAGGCATATAAGGAAGAGTGCAAAGTGCTGGGGAAAGGACTAGAGAATATGAAGTCCCACCCCATGTACTAGCATCAGCCTCCTACACTCTCTCTATCACCATCTCTATCACCTGATTTTAGAAGCACATTGATTCTAGTTCATGGCCTTTGTACCTGCCAATGTCAGCAGTGAATCTTGCGCCTTCAGCCTGACCTTTTGGAGCATGTGTAGTAGACATATAGAAGAGGTGATATCAGCCTCTGTGGGGGTGATTCTGCTCCCCTCAGAGTTCTAAGTCTAAGAGATGGCTGCTTCATACCTTCCATGTGAACCATAGAGAACGGAAGAAGCTCCTGAGCTCTAAGAATCCCATACACTTGTTGGAGCCATTTTCACTTTATAATGGGGCTAGAGACTCAGTGACTGACCCAAGTACCTCACCCAAGGTCATTCAACTGTGCTTAAAACCTAGGCCTGTCTCACACAACACCACAACAGCCCCTGGCATCCAAAAGTAGGTTTTCATCTTCCCCAGAAAGATCTGTCTTCCTGAAGAACATTTTCAGAGATTCTGTAGAATCAGCTCTCTCTTTCTGCTTGCTTCTGAATCACCACTTGGTAGTCGTCAGGAACCCACAAGGTTTCCCGGCAACCAGACCCTCTGCTATTAACACCGAAGCCAATGGAGATCAAGCACTGCAGGCTCCTGCTTGCCGCCCTGGGTGCCAGCATCTGGTCCTGGGCAGCAGGCACTGGGCACTCAGTTATGCAGTGTTCCAAGCCGATCACCTGCCGTCCTCAAATGTCCCCGTCAGTCTAAGCTATTATCCCACCTTCTGGGCCTGGAAGAGGGACCATTAACTGCTGAATGAGAAAGGTGCCTTCCTCCCTGTGGTTATATGCATCCCACCACTGAACAGGACCATCTCAAGTGAAAATGCATGGTTGTGCCATGGTGCGGTGTGGGAGGCAGCTGTCCCTTCCACCTAGGGCTAGGCGGCAGAGTCTCCTTCACACACCTCTCCAAGTCAGGTTTACGAAGAATCTCATATCTAAAGAAAAAAAAATACAAAAGGTCACATTTCAGTATTTGTGAGTCCTGTGGATTTTAGGATCAGGAAACATTACCACTGAATAGATCAGTGCCAGAAGGAGCTTGTCTGCAACATCAAGCCTGGGACTTCCTTCGCCCTGCACTCTGAATAACGCAGAGGTCTGTGCACTGTCTCAGCCCCGCTCATGACTCCACAGTTGGCCTTTTGAATGACAGCAGAGAGCCTTTACATGGGAACGTGGCCATACGGACGAGGAAATTTGAAAGAATTAAGAAATCCTATTTAGAAAAGATATAGCAGACTGCTTTGAATACTTGAGGAGCTCTTATCAGAATATGAGATTTGATTTATCATGTGATCATTAAGCATACGATGAGTGCCTGATGAGTGCCAGGCCCTGGAAATGTCAAGAAAAATAAGGTCTCTGCCCTTAGAGAGGAATTGGGACATAGTAGTATAAGTTAAAAGGAGACATATTTCCATGCTAAGAACTTTAAGGGTGGTCTCCAATGGAATGGGTTTCCTCTAGGAGTGAGCTTTGCATCTTAGGAAGAGATCAAGGGATCGCTGGTTGACCAAACCCTAAAACTACAAATTTCTTTCCTGAATTAGAAGCCAATTCAAGTAGTTTCAAAGAACCAACTAATTGTAACTTAACATATAAATTCAACCATGCTATAACAATGTAGAATATTTGAGTATTTCTCTCCATCATCTGTGTGATCCAACTCCACACTGCAAACTGCTAGATAGAAAATGATGCCATTTCCAGTTCAATGAGTGGCCTTTTCCCTGCATGCACAATGTATCCTGATTGCTCTCCCTTCCTGCAAGCTCTCTGCAGACTGTCAATTAGCTAGGCAGTCATTTCCTCCCCTGAGTCCTACTGTATCAGCCAAGATGAGGCACTTGGGTACTAGAGAGTAAACATGATTCTTTGGAGTTAAGCGAACCAGCAAACACTCATTGGAACTTCAGGATGTGTAAGGCTCTGTGGTGGGAACCAAAATGGGAACAAAAGCTTCTTTCCTCATAGACCTCAGGAGGACATGACATAGTGCAGATGAGGCCAAGGAAGAAGGCTGTGTGACAGACCAAGGCTGTGGGCCCCAGCATGGGGCAGGGGCTTGCTCAGGTCTCTGTGCATTTGTGTGGTAGGTGGGATGTGATTTTGAAAGGAAGAGATGGGGAGGAGAATGCATGTAGTCTTCAGGGTAGAGAGAAGCACTGTGGGCAGTGGGTGGGAGGCTGGGCAGGGTGAGGGATTTACAGAGGGGGCCGGAGCCATCCTGTTGTCTGGAAAGTAGGTTGGGGAGGCAGGAAGGGAGCAAGGATCTCTACATGGCCAACTGCTACCTCTGTTACACTTTTTCTAAGAAGAGTAAAAATCTACTTAAGAAGTTGGTCTTCCCAAGGATATGTGATCATGTGTGAATTGTAAGGCAAGACAGAGCTTTCTGACTTCCTTTGTCTTCAGATATGATTTCTGGAGGCTTTGTTTGTTTGCTTGCTTTAGATGGTAAGATAATCAGTTCACTAGATACACTAGGAAAAATCATTTCCCTCACTGGGAGTCTCACTGCTGGAGTTCTACAAGGTGTTTGAGTAATCTGGGGTACATGGTGTTATACAGGTTCTCTCTGCACTGGGAAAGGCAGGTTGGGGTTCTGGAAGCTAACACCATTTTTACCCAACAAAGGCAGTTGGGACACACTGGCATCTGGCTTTTCCTTGCTGAGTGGTGCCAGGATCCTCCCCCTTCTCCTCCTTCCCTCCTCCTCCCCCTTCCCTCCTCCTCCCCCTTCCCCTCTGTCTCTTCCAGTTTTATTGAGAAATAATTGGCATACGCCACTGTAAAATTTCAGATGTACAGCATGATGGTTTTGGTTACGTATATGGTGAAATGATTACAATGGGTTGACTTAACATCTCTCATCTCAAATAGATACAATAAAAAGAACAGGAGAAAAATCCTCCTCATGATGAGAACTCTTAGGATTTAGTCTCTTCACAACTTGACCGTGGGTCCTGCAGCAATGTCAGCTGTAGTCCCCGTGTGGCACATAACAGCTTAGGACCGGCCAATCTTAGCCTTGTACCTTCTCACCACTCTCTTCCGATTTCCCTTGCCCCTACTCCCTGCCTCTGGTGACCACAAGTCTGATCTCTTTTTCTGAGTTTGGTGGGGTTTTTTTGTGTTTGTTTGTTTGTTTCTTTGTTTGTTTTTGTTTCTTTGTGTTTAGCTTCCACATTTAAGTGAGATCATACAGTATTTGTCTTTCTGTGTCTAATTATTTCACTTAATGTTTTCAAGTTCCATCCATGTTGTTGCAAATGGTAGGACTTTCTCATTTTTATGGCTGAATAATATTCCATTGTGTGTCTAGATACCACCATTTCTCTTTCCATTTGTCCATCAATGGACACTTAGGCTGTTACCCTATCTTGGCTGTTGTAAGTAATGCTGCAGTGAACAGCAAATATCATTTTGAGTTAGTGTTCTCATTTCCTTCATGTATATGCCCAGCAGTGGAATGGCTGGATAAGATGGTAGTCTTATTTTTAACTTTTTGAGGATCTTCCATACTGTTTTCCACAGTGGCTGCTCCAATTTCCATTCCCACCAGCAGTGCACGAGTGTTCCCTTTTCTCTACACCTTCGAGAACACTTGCTGTCTCTTGTCTTTTTGATGATGGCCATCCTAACAGGCGTGAGGTGATAGCTCACTGTGCTTTTGATTTGCATTTCCCTAATGACTAGTGATGTTGAGCGTCTTTTTATGTATCTGTTGGCCATTTGTATGTGTTTTTGGAAAACTGTCTATTCAGGTACGTTGCTCATTTTTAAATTGGATTATCTGTGGCTTTTTTTTTTTTTAAAGATTTTATTTATTTATTTGAGAGAGAGAGAATAAGAGAGAGAGGACACATGAGAGGGTATAGGGTCAGAGGGCGAAGCAGACTCCCTGCCGAGCAGGGAGCCCGGTGCGGGACTCGATCCAGGGACTCCAGGATCGTGACCTGAGCTGAAGGCAGTCGCTTAACCAACTGAGCCACCCAGGTGCCCGGATTATCTGTGGCTTTTTGACGTGTTCTTATTCCTTTCCATTTCAAGGGACTTCCTGAAAGCTGGAGACAAGGAGAATATTTTTAATGCAGACCATTTCCCTCTCTGGTACCGAAGAGCTGCTGAGCAGATTCCTGGGAGTTTTGTCTACTCCATCCCATTCAGCACAGGTGGGTGTCCTTGTTGGAGGTGGGGGTCCATCTGTCTGGTCCTGCTGACCCAGGCATTGCATGCAGTGTGTAAGGGAGCTGTCTGAATGCTGGAGCAAGACAAGTTCTGTCTTGAGAGCCAGGGCTGAATATTGGCCTAGCAGTGAACCATCCACCTGTTCCATAAGTATAATGGCCCCAAGTAAAATGAAGCTTTTGCTTAACTAAAGTGTGCAAAGAGCATTTTGGGAAGCAGGACTGGTATTTTTTACTGTGTGGAATTTGAATACAAACTTCTCAGTAGATTTTTTTTTTTAATGTTGTCATGGCCCCACTTAGAGAAAATTCAGGCAGGCATAACATCCTTGCCAGAACCTTCAGTGAGTCACACTATTTTGGAGGCCCACAATTCCCCTATCAGAAACTAAATTGATTCAAATCCACATGTAGAGTTGAAGGCTAAGATATTGTGTAGCCCTGCCTCTCCTGACAGAGGGTTACAGTGACCAAGGAAAAGCACATAGTCAGTGATTTTTCTAGTCCTAAGATTTTATGTTATAAAAAAAATTAAGGTTACCTCCCTCCAAAAAAGAACTGAACACCATCTTATTTCAACTAGGTTTAGAAACAAAACAAACTAAAAATAGTTCTTAATTGCCCTTGGCTTTTTCTTGTTTCACATAGCTGATACTTTTTGGTGCCCATTTTATGTAAGACTCTGACTATGCATTGTAGGAACTTCAGAGGTGAATAAGACCTAGTTCTCTAAGCTTGGATCACTTTGGACAGTTCAAACTGTACTTATGTTTTATCTTAGAGCCTCTCAACTTAGTCTTTTGTAAGCATTCCTAAATCAACCCTAATAGAGGTTCTCTGGTGCTTAGTGTCAAAGCCCCCTCCCTGATTCTTAGCATTGCTCATTTCTGTGAATGAAGACATCTTCAGAAAGTGCACTTTCAAAATTTGCAGAAGACATGTTGACAAGAGTTGTCTAAAAGTTAGGTGAACGGGCTCATTAGGAAGAGGGTCATTAATGAATATATTCAAGGAAAGGCCAAATGTTATTGTAGAAATTCCCTGAGCAGATGGAATTTTAGAGGAGATTATCACTTAGTTTCTTTTCAAGACTGAGATTCTTTGTACCCACACCCACACACATATGTGTTCTTATGTACGAATGTCCAGGTGACTAAAGCTCTCTCTTTATGTTTGTTTGTATGACACTTTATTGCCCAAAATATCAACTGAGAGACAGTGAACTTTCTCATTCTGCTGCAAACCTATGTCTTCTTTTATCATGCAGTATCACAATACTTTCTCTTTCTTGATCTTCTAAGAAAAAAATTAGAACTTAGCTTGCTGAATTTGGACTGGAAGCATCAAGTTATCCTTTTCTGACAGGATGGATTTTGCTCCAAGCTGGACAGGGAAAAGGAGTGGTAGGAAATAAGAGTTGTGAGCGATCAGCCCTTGGGTAGGTTTGCTTTGTTACTTGTCACCATTTTCCCTACAGAGACTTATGTCTGAGAAAAACAAAGTCTGGTTAATTGAGACTGGTGTAGAACTGGTTTTGGGAAAGTAGGGTTTCATTGAACTTTCAGTGAAATCCTATAATGAAAAAGAATTTACCTTCTTCATGGTAAAGTTAAGGATGAGTTAACATCTTAGGAGATTTTATTCTCCGTTTGGATTCGGAGATGTTAAACATCACCAAGTTCAAGTGTTGTTGTGGGGCTCTCTCTCATTTTTTCTACTGTGTACTGATTACCTGTACTCATTGGAAAAGAAACTGGTTTTTATTACTGCTTAGACTTGAGTCAGGAGAAAATTCTCAATTACTTCGATCATAAGTGTATTCAGATTCAGGTCTGCCTTCTCCCTGTTTCCCAATTCGATTGGATTCCATTCCTTGAAACCATTTATAAGGCAAGCACTGTACTAACAATTATTAACCAAGGGGGTTTGAAATTTCTGCTCAGTGTCTTTTAATTCATGGGTATTAGAATCATTGTTAGTAATTGAAAATCTCTTAGTGGTAATGCCATATTGTTACCACATTAATAAGAGTTTGGAGTGAGGATTGCATTCCAAGTCTATCCCTGATTGGAATGGTTTTGCTAAGAAAAACTGGGCTTGAAACTAGAACTTTATAAGTCAGTAAAGTCATAACCAACAAATCAGAGCTGAAATTCCCGACGTGTAAAACAATTTCAAAACCTTGTCTCATGTAGCTCTTCATGGCTGTATTCAGAGAGACAATGTAAATATGACCACTGACACGAGTAAACACTGTAATTAGTAACCACAAATCATAAAAAGATGGGTTCCCTCCAATGATGCTTAATAATTTTGATGTGAAGAGGCTGGACACCCCCCCACCCAGTGTGGTGGTCAGAACTCAGTGCACTAGTTCCTTCAACTGAAAGGACTATCTACACAGAACCCATGGCCACACAGAATTGGCCTACTCTGGGTTCTGGGAACCAAGCACCAGCACCATCTGCTGAGTTGGTGACCGTAGGCCAATATGATTATTCTCTTAACCTGTGCATGTAACTCTTTCTATTTTTGTTGTGATGGTTTCTCTTCTTTCAGGAATAGTCAACAAAAGCAACGTGGTGACAGCAAGTACCTCCATCCAGCTCCTGGATGAACGGAAATCTCCTGTGGTGGCAGGTAAAAGATGGATTTTAATCAATTAATATACATAAGCATGGTGTCCATTCATCCGGCCAATCAATTACTTCTATGCAGCATGTTTGTTTTTCACAGAATAAGTTTTGAAAGGAAACAAAAATTAAAAATTACTTCTTCCTTAGCTTGGTGCCATCTTCACCAATTCAAGATTCTGACAGCTGGCTGTGTTGGATGTAACAACAGAAATCTTTCCCAGTACTCTTCTTCTTAAACTCTGAGCCAGTAAGAAACTGTTGGTACATGCAGAGGAGAATTTCTTGAACATAGGCAGCATGCTCATTTAAAGTAAGCTCTAGATCTCCCACTGCTGCATCATTGGGATAACAGGGGGCATTCTAGGGAATTGTGGGTTTGTTTTAGGCACACGCAAGCTGAAATGTACCTTCTGTGGAGAGCCTGAGATTTTTACCCCTCTCATCCTGCTGAGGAATTAAAGTTAGAGGTATCTGCCAGTGCCAGGTTTGGGACCAGGAGAAAGCCAAAACATTTCACGATGGAGAGTCTTGAATTGTCAAAGAAATCCTGTCTTTGGCTTTTGCCATCTCTTTCACTCTCAAGGGTGGCAATAGATGTCTGTGGTGGCTGGGGGCTTTCTTTGCTGGTATTTTGGCCTAAAGGGTCTGAAACTGCCACAAGTGTTCCTTGGAGGACAGCTGCTGACAAAAATGGAGTCTATAAGTCTGGCGCATCATCTATTTCTGATATTGTTGGAGCCATTGGTTGATGGGTGGGCAAGACCCTCCAAGCACCATCCTGATATTGGCTAGATTTACCAAAGGGAGTTGTTCTGTTTTGGGGCAACCTCCCTCAATAAGTTGTACTGTAGGTGGACATTGAACATCAACTACTGTGTCTTCGCACACTGTGAATATTTGTGGGAAGGAGTTCAAATGGAGCAAACGTGTTTGGAGTGGCTGCTCTCTGGCTGGGAGACACTGGGCTCCTTTCCCCACTTTATTTTTGATTTAGCCTATGCATCATAATTGTATTAGTAGGGATGGAAAGATTTGGGGACAATTGCCCTGGTTATTCCTGGCTTGTTGGATATGGCAAGGAAGACGGTCTTATGTATCTGACCTGTAGATCCTCTTGAACTAGACAGACCTGTAACTAATAAGCCAGGAAATAAGGACTCTGAAGATTCATGGCAGCTGTCTTCAAATTTTGTCACCTAGCATCTCATGTTCCTTGAAGAAAGTAGGAGACAGGATCATTTAACTCAGTAGGGTTTACTTTTGCACAAAGGAGGTCAGCCTTGCTTTCCCTGGGGTGACCCTGCCAGCTAGTTCTGGAGGCATGTTATCTCCTTGGAGCAGGGCCACTCCAACAGCAGCTGTCAAAGACATGGTCTGACCAAAGCGACTGTCCATCTGTTTGGAATTTTCTGAAAAACTTTTCCTTAGGTTTCTCATTCAGTCGTCATGAAGGATGTTCTGTGTCGGCCGTAAGATCACTGTGCCCATCCCAGCCACCCCATCCAAGCCTGCAAACCAAGGTCAAACATTTCCAAATGCCTATTATGTTGTAAATGTCTGAGCATGGGCAAAATGTAGACTCAGCCGGGGTACTGTGCATCCAGTGTTGAGGAGAACGTGAGTTTTCCAAATGGTTTGCTGATCTAAACTGGTCTACTGTGGAGTGACACGGCTGGCCAGAGACCACAGGCAGGTCGTGAGACATGGTTTGGCCAACCGTGAGTGGGTGGAAAAGACATCCTGCTGTTTACTGCTGCTCAGTGTGTATCAACCGGTCCCCATCTTCAGAAGATAATTACAGAGCAAAACAAAGAAGCAAGGTGATCTGAGGAACTGTATTTGGTACTTACCTTTTAAAACTGGTGGTGATTAACCTTGTTTTGAAGAGTGTGTTTGGTAGACGTAAGTAAAACGGATTTGATTGGTCTGCTCTTGAAGGCTGCCAGGAATGCGGCACCATGAAGGCAATGGCCTCAAGAGGACCCTTCTGTCTCCAGAGGCAGAGTGGCCTCTCCCGCTCTCCCCACAGATTGAGCTGACTCTGACTCAGCCATCATGTCCCTGTGTGATTAGCTTCGGTAACTTTCTTCTGTGTATTTTCCTCAAGTTAAGTAGACATTATTTACTGCTCTAAAATAAAAAAGGTCATTTTAATTGGGGAAGAAGCCTTGTTTTGGCAAGTGAAGATGAATATGTGAGCAAGCTTGCCCCCACCAGTGTGCCCCCAACAGCAGATGGAATACAGCCAACTGGCAGTAATTTGGGGTTTCAATGAAATCCTTGTGTTAAATTGAAATGTCTTTGGAAGGAAAGGTGTACAACTTTGCAAATAATTATCAAGGATGACTTTGAAAAGCTTGTTCTCCTCTCAAGCCTGATCTGGTATTCTCACGTTCATTGGCTATGTGTGTCTGTTTGGGACAGAAAGAGTTTCTTGTTTTGTTTTGTTTTGTTTTTGCTTTATTCTCTTTTTTCTTTCTTTCTTTCTTTTTTTTTCTTGTCTTTTTTAAACAAAAACATTTAGGTACTCATCTGTCAATGACATCTTTGAAGAAAGGGCAGTCAAACTGGGCAGGATTCCATTTGTGCGTCAGCCTTGGTGCATAAATGGGCCCCATCCATCTTCTTGGCCTATGACATTGCTTACAGTCCTTCTCTTGAGGGACCTGCCAACTTTCCAGCTGCCACTAGTGTGCTGAATTGTCTTAATTGCTTTCCCTCTGCAAAGGAAGAAGTGGTAGGACTTTCTCTTTGGCCTACCAAGACTCTCCAGAGCTCTGGAGCCTTCTGTGCACGTCAGGCCCCTCATCTATTTTTCTGTTGTTATTTGCAACACAACCCTCAGACTGTAAAGTCCACATAGGTTTGTCACCTCCTCTGTAACTGGCTAAACGTGATCTTGGGTCTCTGAAGATCTATCTAAAATAAGATTGGGATCATAACCTCCCTCACCTTACTCTGGCTTGATTTGGGGATAAAATGAAAAAACAAATAAAATACTGGAATATGAAAAAGTATAAAAATGCTAGGATTTGAGGTGACCTATTTTTATCTTCAAGTAGACAGCATATTCATTCATTCATTTATTCACTGTTTCCTGACCCCTTTCTTTTACCAGGCACTCTAGATATACTCGAGTAAGAACCAGGCTCCACAATGACATTCCCTCCCTCCCCTAGAGACCTGTAAAATAGTTATTTTTAAAGCCATGTCCACCCAGGGCAGGTGAATAGAAAAGCTGGACAATTATCTAGAAGGTCTCGGAAGTCAAAAACTGTTCTTTTCCTCTCCTGTTGCTCAGAACAGAACCCTAGAGAGTACATAGTGGACGCATAGTGGAGTGATCCTCAGTAAGAATTCTATAAAATGAACTGAACTTGTAGAAACCTATTTTGCACTCACTTAGTTATTATTGACTTGAGTTCCATAAATTACATAGATCATGGTGTTAATTCTCTACTCTGCTCGTAATGGGGAGACTGGACCCTATTGTCCAAAGTCATGGGCGCTGCTTCTACCAAGCAAGGATGGAAATGACATGGAGAGAAAGAGAAATACACAGAGGGCAGAACTGAGTCAGTCACCAGGGAAGGTGGAAGTCTACAGGGAACTTCTCCCCTCTTTGGACGTTTTGTCCCATCCCCCTGTTCTCCTTTTGGATTCTTTCTATAAATACACAATATAGCATCTCAGTTTTCTCTAAAGAAGTTCAGATTTCGGGATTTTTAAATAACAGATAATAAATTCTGATTTTTTTTTGCATTTGCTTTAAATGTAAATTTTAGCATATCAAAATCTAGAACCTCTTCTACAAATGTTCCAGTTTGATTTCTTTTAAATAAAATTTAAAAGCTCTCCAAAGGCAAGGACGGTCCGGATTATCTTTGTATTCCTAGTGCTAAGCACAAAGGTTGACGTGTGGTAAATATGTCAAAAATCGTGGCAGAATAAATAACTCAAGGAAGATGGGCTTCATTTTCCCCTCTCCTGTGTAGGTACATAAGTGCAAATTGTACTGTCCAGACAAGGGGAACACAGTATTTGACGAAAACTCTAAGAGGTGCAGTCAACCCCTACAACTCTAATCCATGCCCTAGTAATCTGACACAGACCACTATGGATATTTTAAGGAATAGAAAAACCGTTTAGTTCCCCATCCTAATGTCAGCTGTGCCGGCCTGGTAGTTACCTCTACATCAGTAAAAGTCTTTTCTGAGGTCTGAGCATTGAAGTGATGCCTAGAATAGCTAATCTGATCAGCAGCAGGGAAGGAAAAAAAAAAAAAGTAGATGAGAGACCATAGAGGCATTGCTTTCCTACAGAAACAGTTTTTTAACACGGATTTTGTTTTTGAGGTGTGATGTACATACCAAAAATTCACTTATTTTAAGTGTAAAATTCAATTATTTTTAGTAAATCTGGGGGGAGCTCTGATCTGCCAGTCTGTTTCTTTGCAAGAAACACGTTGAAAAAAAAAAAAAAAGAAACACATTAAATCCATTCATTGGGGGGAATTTGAAAATGGGGTGATGTGGTCTCACTTGCATAATTCTAGGCAGTACAATGAAGGGGAATGCTTGATGTTAGGACAGAAGATCTCATTTTAACCAGCAAATTAGGAAAGAGATGAACACTGTGGGCCACCAGCTATTGCCAGGTATGTGATATTTAAACTGAGTGTACTGCTTAAAATGAACCCTTCATTAGAAACGGGTGAATAACGGTTGGCAAGATGTTAGAGGCAAATCATCAGGTTAACAGTACTCCTTTGGCGGCATCTTACATTTTGGGGGTATACGAGTTAACTAGTACGGCAGGAATTACATGTCAGGTCTGTGTCGCTAAACTTCTAGTTTGTCAGATCTGAGCAAAATGGGTGTTTCATCTTGGCAGAAATGAATACCTATGCCTTAAACCGTGGTTCTCAACCAGGGGCAGTTCCCTCTCACCCCGGGGACATCTGATAGCAGTAGAAACATTTTTGTCACAACTGGTTAAGAGGGG